GATCCTTGCAGCTTCGAAACAAGAACCCCACTGCTGATACGAAGCCTTACCGCATTGACTGACCCGTGCAAACGAGTCGCATGGACGGGAACCTTGACGATATGATTGATTTCGCGAGGTGGCGGCGCCGGCACGACGACTTTCTCTGGCACGGTCACGTGATGGACGTGCGTGATAGTCTTGTAGTGGTTCCTCGGCAAACGCTACAGCAAGCCCTGCCACTGGAACGTCGCATGCTTCAGCCGAGATTCCGGTACTGAACCTTAGCAGGAAACAAAGAAACGGCAAAGGGAGTCGAAAACCAAACCAGGAAATCTTCATTCCCGCCTTCGTCACGCAAGACTCCTTGAACTTGTAGCAGCAGTAGCGCTGATGCTCATGGGACCACTGTGTCTTCCAGCTACCATAGCCTGCAAACTGCAAGCGTGACACGACAAGTGCTGCACATAAATGAATCCGCAGGAGGTTCGTGGTCGTAGCCTTCCGTGCACTCGAAGGGATGATGCTTGACGTACACCTTCTGCCTGGGAAGCTCAGCCGCAACAAAAACTGCCACTGCTGAGATTCTCCGCATTTCGCCCTTTGGTCATGCCAAGACTCGTGATGACCTTGGCGGGCGGACCGGGAACCGGCACAGGCACCACGTGCGAGACTTTTTGCGTCCTGGAAACCGTACAAGTAGTGCATACATGCCTAGCAGCCTACGATATGTGGCGCATCACCTGTACGCCTGCATTCACGAACAATCTAGCGCCGTCTGTAAACTTGCAAGCCTGGACCAACTGCAGTGCCCTATGACAGTGTTGTCGCCCTGCAAAACAATGAATCGGCTGTTGGTACTTGCTACACTTCTACCCCTTCTAGACTGTTTGCCGTTTACTGTCATACAGTGGCTGGTGCATGTTCGCAATCCCGTCCTCACGTTGGTGTAGTACCTCATTGGTAGATGCTTCAGAGCTGCAGGGCTTGTGCGGAAATGTGAGAGATGGAACACCTGGAACACGCCGAGGGGCTTGTCGTGGATGATCACGGGCGCTTTCGTCGTGGTGGCGCAGAAGGCTACGTTGCCCTGCGCGCAGCAGGCCTCCCTCTGCACCACCGTCATGGCACCCACGGTGCCCGTCATGCAGGGGTCCTGAGCTGGTGCTGTGGAGCCACTACGGCAGAATGTAGGAACGCCGAGGCCGCAGCCTCAATCTGGGGCCGGCACCATTTCGTCAGCTCCCGTCTGAAAGAAGTTGAAAGGCCTGGGAGCACCGAGACTGTGGCGGTGAGAACCTGCCTCTTTCACCCGCATCAGCCCCGAGGTCCTCACCAGAAGAGGTAGAGCAGAAGCCCCAGAATTAAGGAGAGCAGGAAGCAGAGGAGCACCGCACAAATGGAGCGGAACCTTTGAAGCCCATGGAAGCTAGTCTTAAGCTCGTGCAGTCTCGGCACAGCAGGGCAGGCTAAGGTGCAAGCCGGACACCTCAGCTGCAACATGATTCACAGTTCCAGCTGTTCGTCACTCTTTCCAGCTGTGGTCAACCGAGCTGCCAGAGCTCACGGTCACCTTCTCCTTCTCGAAGTCGCCGCGGCTGGTAAGGACTTCAAGCTCTCCCAGACAAATTGCACGCTGGAGCAACTAGGCAGGGCGGCCCATGTCCAACATAGTCCATGGACGATGCTTGCTGGTAAGTTCCGCGACCTGCACTGCGGCTGAAAAGCTGCGGTGCGGTCCACTGCCACAGTCTTGGTGGCACTTGATGCTCGACTGCAGCAGCGGAGGGTGTTTTTTCCTAGCTCTGGCGATGCCCCGTACGGCTCACTCTGCTGGTTGCAGAACCCTGTAAACTGCAGCATTTGCTATCATTTGCTTCTATTTTTCATCAAGCTATTGGGGAATTACAATTTTGCCCCAACTGTCTTGTGTCAAGCTGGTGAACTACAATTGGCACGGTTTTGCTTTGCGCTGTGCTATTGAGGGAATTACAACTAGCAAGGCTCCTTCCTGTCTTGCGTCAAACTATTGGGGAATTAGATTTTGCAAGGTCTTGCTCTGCGTCAAGCTATTGGGGTATTACGGATTATAATTTCGAGGCTCCTGCGTTGTTGGGCAATCACAGCGTGCAGGGTATTGCTCTGCGTCTAGCTACTGGGGAATTACACAACTTGCAGGGGCGATTCCGGTTCATCGTACATCTTAAACGCGCCCCACTCCCTCCATTGGGCGATTCCGGTTCATCATTTTTCCTAAAAGCGCCCTGTTTTTTGCGACCGAGGTTCATCAAGTATCTTACACCCGCTCTTTTGGCGATTCCGGTTCATCATATATCTGATTTGCTGAACCCAACTGCAACTATTCACGGGCCGCAGCCTGCGGCCCTCGACCGGGCGACCCGCGGCAGGGCCAAAACAGAGACCGGAATTGGTTGGCGACCCGCAGAACCAGGGCACCAGAGGACCGGGGGGCCTGGGCCAACCCTACCAAAGACCCCAGACCACAGCCAACCTTGAGGAAAGAAAGCCTGGACCCGACTGCAGCTGCCAAACAAAAAGTGTGAGAACCGTCCGTGCTGAGGCTGGCGCTGTCGCGATACCCAACACGGAAAGACGGCCAAGTGAACAGACCGCGTTTGCCCTGGCATTGCCCCATTGCCCGTTCCTCCACAGTTCTGTGCCGTGGCCAGCGGCTTTCGAGTCAGAGACGTTTCTTGGCCTCGGCTTTGCGCCTTGGACTGGCTGGGGTGATCTCCAAACTTGCATGTACGATCAGTTTCCAATGCCTCTTCGTCGGACTGGCACTTACATGGATCGCCAGTCCCGCTGCTTTGATATCGACAAAGCTTGAACTTGAGATCAATTGGCTTGTGCGAGTTATCATTGCTCTAGAAAAGACACATCCTGAGTAACAGATGTAAAGCGGTCACCCACCCACCGACGCACGCACGCACCGATTCATCTGCCCAGCTGCTACAGGTCTTGAAGTCATTGCATGAGCTTTGACTCACACTCCCGGACAGTCCTGGCCTGCACCGACATAGGCCTCAGCTCTCCCCAGAAATGAAACTAGTCTCAAACAGTTCTGACTGCACACATCGCGTCTGAGTCGAAACACAAAATCCTGGAACAATTCATGCTGACTCAAACCTTTCCAAATCCTCTTCTTGCAAGAAGCCCAGCGCTCTTCCGTCTTGGCTGCTTCAGGGTCGGCCTCAAAGCCTCAACTCTGCCCAATGAGGCGCAGGTGAAGTGATGCGGTGAGTACGATGTGCAGAACCCTCAGGATCTCAAATCCTTTCAATTCCCACAAAAGGTGCCAACTCCTACGGGCCAGATAGTGCTCAGCCAAGGAGCAAAGTGCACCGCAGGACCCTCCTCAGCGGATTGGATGTCCGCTCTTTCTCTGGTGTCCTATATAGGACATGCTGATAAGGCTTGCCACTTTACTTGTCAATGATGCTACGAAGGCGCCGCAGCCATCATCCACCGTCGCAACATCGACCCTTGCAGGTTCCCATATCAAGACTGACGCGCATGATCACACTTGGCCAGGAGACTGAGATAAATCAACCGGTCTGAAAGAGCTGAGCACAGCCGGGGCGCTTCCGCGGCCCCATGATCGCGGCGGCAGTCGCTTGCGGTTACTTGTGGCCTCTTAGAGGGTCTTCGAGCAACGCGCTGCGCTGCGCAACTTCAAGCACATCAACACGATTCCGATGGAGAGAGTCGCGAAGTGAAGCGACGAACGGTGACCGAATGACCGAACATGCCAGCTGCTTCCTTGGATTCCCTCAGTGCAGATGTGAGCGACTGTGAGCGAAGGGTGGCTATTCGAAAGTCCATGGCCCGCCGATACATCGACGAACACAAACGAAGACCGCCTCGTGTGGCTCAGCACAAGCAACTTCCGAACCGATGGACTCCACGATGGCAAAGACATGACCTTTACAGTTTACGGCCTATGCTTCCGTCAACAAATCCAAACTTAACATAGGCTGGATTGCTGTCGGACAAATAAAGCCGTCGCGCCTTTGTCTCTGTGGTGATGCAGGAGATGAGTCAACGAAGAAGCAGTGCTTGGCAGGTGCTGCCAGGTTAACAAGGACGAGGACTGACGCGAACTCCAACACTCAAAGACAGACCCGTCGAAGACTCGAAGTCCGATGCCACATGTGAATGGTGTCCAATGGTGTCCTTGGAGCCGCCGTGAGCAGTTCGTCGCACACAAGCTTCGTGCATGCGCTGAGACTTCAGGCAAGTCGAGTGCGCGCGGCAGTCCCGACATAGTGCCATGATGTGCCATCCTACCATCCGTCTGCGTTCGTCCGAAGGTGGCCTAAAGATTGCTGCCAGCACATCACTACGCTCAATAAAGTCTCAAGAGAGAAGGAGCGGACGATGCACGTCTTTAGACGTACACCTAAGCTGGTTCCCAGCTACACCAGCACAAGCCAAGCGAAGGATTGGCTTGAATCTTGCGACGGTAGGCGTCCGGGTCCCTGCATTCCGAGTCTGCGAATCCTTTAACTTTCTAATTTAATGCCCAACGTCAGGAGACCAGGCTGCGACGATCCGCGCGTGTGGCAGCTGCAAATACGTGCTCCTTCTTCACTTCTTCACTTCCATTGCCAACAGGCTCGATATGGATCGGTTTTCGATTTATATGAGTCTCAGGCTGTTCCAGTGTCAGCTTAGCATGGCTGCGTCGAGCTTCAATGATTCTTATGTCAAGCCGTTGCCAATGGCGGCCTTGCATGCTACAGGATCGGAAAACTCAGTGCCTGATGCTCACAGCACCAAAGCGCCTCCAGCTTTGCGAAACTGCACTGCGGCTGCTCGAATTACAAGTGCTGGGTTCCGGGCATGTGACACCAATGGCCAACCCCACCTTGCAAGAAAGTGTGAGCTGAGGCTGAGATGCTCAAGCTGGGCCGTCTTCGCTAGCAAGCTTGGGGCCCACGCCAATCTCATGTAACATCCCGTCCAGCGACAGCACCGGCTCCTGGCTTGCATGATTGCTCCTTCTAAGGTTGAACCCTGGGATCCTTATACACCTACTATAAACCCTGTATGTACCCTTAAGGGTCCCTAGAAAGGCCTAAGGGTCCATATTAGGGGCCCATACTTCTAACCTTAGACTCATGCCGCTGAATAAGAAGGCTTCTATGGGAAATCGGTGCCCTTTCATGATTTGCAAATTGTGTCCTCTTCCTGCTGGTTCGCGCTTCGCAACGAAGAGCAGAGGAGTCCCAGGGGCTATTACTTCTCGTCCGGCAGTGTGTCGTCATCGCCGCCAATGCTCATGTCACCGTGGCGATACTCAGGCGGCAATGACTCATCGTCGCCACCAACGATCATGTCACTGTGCCGATGCTCGGGCGGCAGCGAGG